CTTATTCTCCAGACCCCTCACCAGCTCCGTTGCCCTTCTCTGGACCCGCTCCAGCCCCTCGATGTCTTTCTTGTGGTGAGGGGCCCAGAACTGGACACAGCCCTCGAGGTGGGGCCTCACCAGTGCCCAGTACATGAGGACGGTCACCTCCTTAGTCCTACTCCCCACGCTGTTCCTGACACAGGCCAGGATGCTGGTGGCCTCCTTGGCCACCTGGGCACACTGCTGGCTCCTGTTCAGCCCACAGGCCACCAACACCCCCAGGTCCTTTTCTGCCAGGCAGCTCCAGCCACTCTGCCCCCAGCCTGGAGCGCTGCAGGGGGTTGGTGGGACCCAGGGGCAGGACCTGACACTTGGCCTTGTTGAACCTCATCCCATTGGCCTTGGCCCATCCATCCAGCCTGTCCAGATCCCTCTGCAAAGCCTTTCTGCCCTCCAGCAGGTCAACACTCCCACCCAGTTTAGTGTCATCTGCAAACTGGCTGAGGGTGCACTCGATCCCCTCGGCCAGATCATTGATGAAGATGTTAAAGAGAACTGGCCCCAGTACCCAGCCCTGGAGGACACCACTTGTGCCCAGGCACCGAGGTCAGACTGACAGGCCTGGAGTTCCCCAGATCATCCTTCTGACCTTTCTTGTGGATGGGCCTCACATTTGTCAGACGCCAGTCGGCCGGGACCTCCCCAGTTTGCCAGGACTGCTGGTAAATGATGGAGAGTGGCTCAGTGAGCACTTCCACCAGCTCCCTCAGTGCCCTCGGGTGGATCCCATCTGGGCCCATAGCCTTGTTTATATCCAGGTGTTGGAGCAGGTCCCTCACCACCTCCCTTTGGATTACAGGGGCTTCAGTCTGCTCCCCACCCCAATTTGCTGGCTCAGGGGTCTGGGTACTCGGGGAACAACCAGCTCTACTACGAAAGACAGAGGCAAGGAACGCATTAAGTCCCTCAGCCTTCTCCTCATCCTTTGTCACTGTCTTACCTCCCGCATCTGATAGAGGATGGAGATTCTCCCAAGTCCTCCTCTTGTTACTGATATATTTATAGAAATTCTTCTTATTGTTGTTTTTAACATCCAAGTCAGGTTAAGTTCTAATTGGGCGTCTATTTTGGGATGCTTCCTCTCAGAAGCTTAAATAATTCCCAAGATCATAGTACTGTTTTACTGCCATTTGTGCCTTTTACATTATCAGGTATACATTATTGAGGTGTGCCCGTAATTGTTTTTGAAAATGAGTGGGTGATTGTAATTGTTAGCATGTTAACACTTACAGAATCTAAGAATTGTCTAGTTTGGAAAGGACCTTTAAGATCATCTAGTCCAATCATCAACTCTGATTAAAAAAAAACCAAACAAAAAAACAAATAAACAAAAGAAAACCATAGGAAACAAAAACCCCACATCACTAAACCATGTTACTGAGCACTATGTCAACCTGTCTTTTGAACACCTCCAGGGATGGTGCCTCAGCCACCTCCCCGTGCAGCCCATTCCAAGGCTTAATAACCCTTTCCGTGTAAATATTTTTCCTCGTGTCCAATCTCAACCTCCCCTGGCACAACTTGAGGCCTTTTCTTCTTGTCCCATCGCCTGTTCCTTGGGAGAAGAGACCGACCCCCCCTGGCTACACCCTCCTTTCAGGGAGTTGGAGAGAGCGAGAAGGTCTCCCCAAGCGGGTCACTGTGTCACAGAAGGAGATGAGGTTTGTCAAGCAGGACCTGCCCCTCATGAACCCGTGCTGGCTGGGCCCTTTTTTCCCTGAGCTGTGACCTCTTTGTTCAGCCAGGCCACCCTTTTCCCCTGACGGCTCACTTTACAGCACGCAGAGGCGGCTTGCTCCTGTGCTTTTAAGACATTCTCCTTGATAAGCATGGAGCCTTCCTGGACTCCTTTGCCCTTCAGGGCTGCCTCCCAACGGACTCTGACAAGCAGGCTCTTGAAAAGACCAAGGTCTGCTCTCTGGAAGTCCATGGTGGCAGTCCTGCTGGCTCCCCTCCTTGCTGCCCTGAGAATTGAGAACTCTTGTCATTTCATGGTCACTGTGCCCTAGACGGCCTCCAACCGTCACAGCCCCCACAAGTCCTTCTCTCTTCACAAACACCAAATCCAGCAGTTCTCCTTCCCTAGTCGGCTCCCTCACCAGCTGTGTCAGGAAGTTATCCCCGACACACTCCAGGAACCTCCTCGACTGTTCCCTCTCAGCTGTATTGTGTGCCCAGTTGATATCTGGTAGGTTTACATCTCCCACCAGGACCAGGAAAAGCGATTTTGAGACCTCTCCCAGCTGCCTATAGAATATGTCATCTACCTCTACATCCTGGTTGGGTGCTCTGTAACAGACTCCCACTATGATATCAGCCTTGCTCGCTCTCCCCCTGGTTCTTACCCATAGGCACTTGACCCTACTATCACCCTCAGTTAGTTCTCAACATTCATAACCCTCCCTAACATGCAGGGCCACCCCTCCTCTCCTTTCTTGCCTGTCCCTTCTGAAGGGTCTGTATCCATCCACTGCAGCACTCCAATCATGCAAGTCATCCCACCGGACTCTGACAAGCAGGCTCTTGAAAAGACCAAGGTCTGCTCTCTGGAAGTCCATGGTGGCAGTCCTGCTGGCTCCCCTCCTTGCTGCCCTGAGAATTGAGAACTCTTGTCATTTCATGGTCACTGTGCCCTAGACGGCCTCCAACCGTCACAGCCCCCACAAGTCCTTCTCTCTTCACAAACACCAAATCCAGCAGTTCTCCTTCCCTAGTCGGCTCCCTCACCAGCTGTGTCAGGAAGTTATCCCCGACACACTCCAGGAACCTCCTCGACTGTTCCCTCTCAGCTGTATTGTGTGCCCAGTTGATATCTGGTAGGTTTACATCTCCCACCAGGACCAGGAAAAGCGATTTTGAGACCTCTCCCAGCTGCTTATAGAATATGTCATCTACCTCTACATCCCGGTTGGGTGCTCTGTAACAGACTCCCACTATGATATCAGCCTTGCTGGCTCTCCCCCTGGTTCTTACCCATGGGCACTTGACCCTACTATCACCCTCAGTTAGTTCTCAACATTCATAACCCTCCCTAACATGCAGGGCCACCCCTCCTCTCCTTTCTTGCCTGTCCCTTCTGAAGGGTCTGTATCCATCCACTGCAGCACTCCAATCATGCAAGTCATCCCACCACATTTCCATGATGGTGACTACATCATAGCTTTCCTGCCACACCATGGCTTCCAGCTCCTCCTGCTTATTGCCCATGCTGCGTGCTTTAGTGTAAATGCACTTCAGCTGGGCTACCGGTCCCACCACCCTATAGAATATGTCATCTACCTCTACATCCTGGTTGGGTGCTCTGTAACAGACTCCCACTATGATATCAGCCTTGCTCGCTCTCCCCCTGGTTCTTACCCATAGGCACTTGACCCTACTATCACCCTCAGTTAGTTCTCAACATTCATAACCCTCCCTAACATGCAGGGCCACCCCTCCTCTCCTTTCTTGCCTGTCCCTTCTGAAGGGTCTGTATCCATCCACTGCAGCACTCCAGTCATGCAAGTCATCCCACCACATTTCCATGATGGTGACTACATCATAGCTTTCCTGCCACACCATGGCTTCCAGCTCCTCCTGCTTATTGCCCATGCTGCGTGCTTTAGTGTAAATGCACTTCAGCTGGGCTACCGGTCCCACCACCTTTTTGGTGTAGGAGACCTTTTGATGAGGCCTGCCAACTCCTGTGCAACTTCTTATTTCAGCTGCCTCAGGAGCTGCTGGTTCTTCTCCTCCATAAGACTTTGACTGCAATGCAGTGTCACCAGCAGAGCTCAGGGAGCCAGGCTGGAGGCCATCACTAGCCTGGGACTACCCTGTCCCCCAAACCCTGATGTGTTACCGCACAGCTTGCCACAGACAAGCCTGATATTATTAACCCCCTCCCCCCTCACATCTAGTTTGAAGTTTTATCATGCAGTTACTTTTGAAACATCTTTGATTGCTGTTATTGTTAGGCCTATACTTTTCATAATAGCAGTAGAGCTAACACTTACTGGCCAAACTATCTTGGCTTTAAGGAAGGTTGGATTGCCAGCTTTGTTTTGGAGTTTTAAAACTTCCTTACTTATCTATACTATAATTTCTATAGAATTTTCCAAGCCTCAGGTGTAGTAATGCAAAATGTGTGTGTATATACAGCATGCAAAGCATAACTATGAATGCACACAAATAGGGTTCATCACTTCAGCCACCACGGAAGTGCAACGAAATTGCAAGGTAATAACAGCTGTTTATGATACAGGAAAAATAACATTGCAGCAGATTGAAAGTGCAGAATAAATCATCTCTTACCCAAACATTAATTGCTCAGCTGGGGATGCAAAGTGTAGAAGATGACACTCTGGATGGGATTATGAACAACTGAAAAAAAAATTAAAAGGAAGATGCATTCAAGACATTTGAGATCTGTGACTAGTGTTTTTACAGTGTTGATCAGACATTTGTCTTTAGTGCTTCTAGTGGTAAATTGTACTTCAAGGGGGAAAAAGGCTACTTTTAATATAAAATTCTGTTTTCTTCTTGTGGGTGTGTATGTGTTCTCCTTCTAGGAAGCTACAATATTTCAAATGTCTTGCCTTCAGCTCCTGATATAGCTCAGTTTAAACAAGGAGTGAAATCTGTGGCTGGAAAACTTTCTGTACTTGCTAATGGGGTCATGACATCTATACAGGTGAGTAAAAACATTACAGACTATTAAATATCAGTTAAAGTCTATTTGTAGGGATTTGTATCGTGGATCCTGCCATTGAATCATCTTTAGGGAGAAAAGAATGAACTTGGTTTTGAGCTTTGTAGGCCTCTCATGGTAGACAGTAGATCTTTTATCTTTTTAAAAATCAATCTGTAGCTGATAGCCCACGCTCCTTAGAACGTCTCTTTTGTCTTTTTTCCTTATATAGTTTATGTCCTTTCTTACAATTGAAACAAAAATTCCATCATGGAAGTTATTTGCTCTCACTTTATTTTTAAACTGATAATAGTTCATAACTCAGAGTAGAGCAGTTGGAAGGGACCTACAGCCGATCATCTAGCCCAACTCTTGTATTGGTTCTTTAATTGCCTTGACAGCAATACCTTTGATCCACGTTTGTGCACAAAATTGAGACATCTTGGTCTCAATAGTGTAAAGCATGCTTCATACTCCAGTTAGTTTGCATTTCCTATATGAGGTAGTGAGAGCTCCCAGATGCTTGAAAACCAGCCTAATTACCCTGGAGTTTAACCGGGAACTTCAGTTCCTGGAAATATGGGTCAATTTTCTTAAAGTCTTTAAGAATTAAACTACTATTTATTTTACAAATGTAAGTAAAATTTCAGTGGAAAACATACTCATGCCTGTCTTGTCTTTTTTGGTTTTTTACTTTTCTAGGATCGATATGGTTCATAACATCTTTGGTATCGACTTAATTAAGTACGTTTAAAGAAGGATTTCTCTTCAGATATACAAGTAATCACACTGCTGATTCAAATGAAGATTGCCTTAAGACTGTTGATATTTTCATTTTTTCCAGCATATTTGTTTACTTGTGCAGCTTTCTGGGTCAGCCTCTCCTTACTGCTCTTTCATCTTTACAGAGCAGAAATCTTGTTACATTGCATATGTACGCCCGACGCCTTACAGTCTTGTATTTCTTAGTGACCTTAATGTTAGATGTTGGAAGTTTATTTTATTACTGATTTTAGCTGTGAGGCAGGAAGGAGAAAGAAGGATGAACCATACATTGGTAATGAGGCTTCCCAATAGAAACCTCTGTACAGTTGCATCCTTAGTCACCAGACATTACTTGTTTTATGACGGTTTTATGAGCTATGGAGAAGAAAAATTAAGCATATGCTGAGGTGGTATTTAGTGGACTGTAGCAAAATATAGAACTAAGTTAAACCTGCGCTTATCAGGAAGTAGAAGCTCTTGCAGTCGTAAGTTGATGTGCATTAAAATAATGGGGGATTAGTGTTTTAAAACAATATTCCTGCTAGAAAATTATGTGCATAGATGTGAGGTATGGAGATGACCAGACATGTGGTATATTGAATAGTGGATTTCATCTTGTCATGGGAGCAATCTATTTATTCATAGTTTTAAAAGTTGCAAAAAAATTGCAATATAGAATCCTTAAGTGCTTTTTGAAAACCTGCATTATGTACAAATCGGAAAAAAAATAAAGGGCCTAATAGAGCAGTTAATTAAATACTTGTTAAAAATGTTTTGAACAATCTTTGGTTTTTTGCTAAATTATGAAATATTGAATGAAGAAATATAGTAGGACTGTGTTTTAGACAGTCTAGAATTTATCATTGATGATATCCTGTATAAAAACAGTTATGACAAGGAATAAAAAACCTCCCAAGCAAAAATTAGCTCAAGTTAATTCTGTTCTGTAACTTTATTTCTTGATTCAAATTTGTAAATTGCTGATACCTAATAAAAGCAATTGATATAAACTCATTTTTTAATTAAATTTCTATGCACAGATGCCAGTCTCCAGCTTTCTAAATACTGCTGTCTGTATTCTGTCTATACAATGATCTAGCAAAATTAGCCTTCAATTTCAATTACTGAAAAGCTTTCTCGTTAAATTGCTACACTGATTTAAAAATCAAAACACATAGGCTGGGGTAGAAAAATAAGCTACTGTGTTGAAATACAGTTAATATAGTCTAACTGTATTTGTTTTTTAATTTCTAGCTGCCTCATATCTAACTCTTAGTTCTCGTATTTTTCTCTCGAAATTATTTTTCTTATTTGAGAGAATCACGGAATCACAGAATTGTCGGAGTTAGAAGGGACCCTCTAGAGACCATCCAGTCCAACCCCCCTGCCAAAGCAGGGTTGCCCAGAGCACATCACTCAGGAGCATCCAGGTGGGGCTTGAAGAGCTCCAGAGAAGGGGACTCCACACCCTCCCTGGGCAGCCTCTGCCAGGGCTCTGCCACCCTCACCCCAAAGAAGTTCTTCCTCACATTGGAGTGGAACTTCCCATGGTCCAGCTTGTGCCCGTTGCCCCTCGTCCTGGCACTGGGAACCACTGAGAAGAGTCCGGCTCCATCCTCCTTCAACCCACCCTTTAGATCCTTGGAAGCATGAAGAAGGTCTCCCCTCAGCCTTCTCTTCTCCAGGCTCAAGAGTCCCAGCTCTCTCAGCTTTTCCTCATCAGGGAGATGCTCCAATCCCTCCATCACCTTTGTTGCCCTTCGCTGGACTCTCTCCAGCAGTTCCCTGTCCCTCTTGAACTGGGGAGCCCAGAACTGGAGGCAGGATTCCAGTTGTGGCCTCCCCAGTGCAGAGCAGAGGGGGAGAATGACCTCCCTCCACCTCCTGGCCACACTCTTCCCTACGCAGCCCAGGATCCCACTGGCCTCTTGGCCACAAGGGCACATTGCTGGCTCATGGGTAGGTTACTGTCCACCAGGATCCCCAGATCCTTCTCCTCAGAAGCACTTTCCAGGTGCTTTCCACCCCTAACCTGTACTGGTGCCTGGGGTTCCTCCTCCCCAGGTGCAGGACCCTACACTTGCCCTTGTTGAACCTCATTATGTTCTTCTCTGCCCAGCTCTCCAGCCTGTCCAGGTCACCCTGGATGGCAGCACAGCCCTCTGGAGTGTGGGCCAGCCCTCCCAGTTTGGTATCATCAGTGAACTTGCTGAGGATACACTCTGTCCCCTCGTCCAGGTCATTGATGAATATGTTGAATATGTTGTTGCCTCCAACTTGACCCTGCTCTATTAGTGACAACCCTCTGAGTTTTGTCACGCAGCCAGTTCTCAATCCACCTCACTGTCCCCTCGTCTAGCCCACGCTTCCCTAATTTCCTAATGAGGATGTTATGGGAGACAGTGTCAAAAGCCTTGCTGAAATCAAGGTAGATGACATCTGCTGCTCTCCCCTCGTCCAGCCATCCAGTTATAACGTTGTAGAAGGCAATCAGATTGGTCAAGCATGATTTCCCCTTGGTAAGTCTGTCTAGATCACTTCCAGTAACTTCCTGTTCTTCAAGATATTTGGAGATGACTTCCAGAACAAGTCACTCCAGACTTGTGTGGAGACTGGAGTGATGTTGGCCTTTGTCCAGTCCTCAGGCACCTCTCCTGTTCTCCGTGACTTTCGGAGATGATGGAGAGTGGCCCAGCAATAACACCTGCCAGGTCTCTCAGCACTTGCGGGTGCATCCTGTCAGGGCCCATGGACTTATGGATGTCCAGTTTGGCCAAGTGGTCTCTAACCCAGTCCACCTCTACAGAGGGAAAATCTTCCTCTCTCCAGACCTTCCCCCTTGTCTCCAGGGTCTGGGATTGATGAGGGACAGCTTTGGCAGTGAAGACCGAAGCAAAGAAGGCATTCAGTAGCTCTGTCTTCTCTGTGTCTTCCACCACTAGGGTGCCCACCTCATTCATCAGTGGGCCTACATTTTCCCTAGTCTTCCTTTTGCTGTTGATATACTAAAAGTACCTCTTCTTGTTATCTTTAACCATAGTGGCCAAGTTCAGTTCTGCTTGAGCTTTGGCCCTTCTAATTTTCCCCCTGCATAGCTTCACTACGTCTTGGTATTGCTAGTAGTACAAAATAAGCATTTTTCCTGCTTAATTGTAGAGCTTTGGGTTTTTTCTTTCCCACCCTATAGAGAGGATTTTGCTAGTGTGACAGGAAAGTGTTACTGATCAGGGCTTGCTTTAGTTTTCTGTAATTACAGGTAACGTTTCTCAGTTTTCAAACTACTCTTTCAGTTCAGTCTCACACATTTATTACAAGTAATAAGTGCTCTGATTCTCAGAGTTGCAATATACCAACAGCATCCAGTGACTTGCAGAAGACCTGCTCCCCTGTATATTTAGACGTTTGTGTATGGATACATTTGCTTAAATTAAGGCAGTGAAGTCTGACTAAAGGTGGTTCTGTTCCTTTTCATGATTTCTCAAACATAATAATACAAGTGAGATCATCTACACTGAAGTAATTGCGTGTAATTTTCATGCATCATTGTAATAAGCAAACCACTCACAGATGGAAAAATATGAAAAAATTATATTTTTAGTATAAAATAAGAAGTAATTCTAGGAGGAAACAGCTACGGAGTTATCTTAAATACCATAAAATATGTGCAACTCTCTAGCAGATGTATAAGCTTTTTCCTCTTTGCTGCAGTCTGAAGATTACACTATAAAGTTCTCTTATGGGTGAACAGTGATACAATATTTTCAGTGTTTTGTGCAGTTCAGCATAAATTGGATTTGTTTTTGCAGATTCTCTATGGCAACCTGTGTACCACCAATATGTTCTCTTGAAGATCTCTTGGCGTAATGGCTGGATGGATAGCTCAACACGCCTAATTGTGTCTTTAGTAAGACACATAAGCTGTCACAATTTTCATCAAATAGAGGTGGGGAGGGGTTGCCACGTACACTGGAAAAGGCAGCTTTAACTCCTCTATTCTTCTGGGAATTCAGAATGCTATGGCACCTCTGATCCTGCAGGGTGTGATTGGACTGGATCACAGGTAGAAAAGTCTAAATGAGATTTGCATTCCTGCTTTCTTGTGTGTCCTTTTCCTTTCTCTCATCTTTTGCCTTCACCGTGTTTGTCAGCCTCTGGTAAGAAGGGCAAATGACTGATGCTTCTGCAAGCATCACAGGTTTTAGAATCCATGATAAAACCACATATTAGATCTTGTTTTCTGACAAGTTTCCAAGTGAAACTTGGCATTAGTCACCAGTTAGGTTTTGTTGGAGTTCTTCCTTTAATCCTCTTTTACTACAGATATACATCTTGCTTTTTCAAAGCTGGAACTGAAGGACAGCAGCAGTAACTGAACCATTCAAGTTAAATTTTCCTCTTCTTAAAGGTGAGTAACGATACTGTATATAAGGGGAGGAGAAAGGGGATTATTTACATTTCAGATAGTTAATTTTTGTGGGTTAAATTGAAAGGGTTAGAAAAATGTACAACACCAGAACCAGCATTAAATCAATGCAGAGACTGTGCAGACTCAGACTTCCCTGAGTAAACAGTGAAGGGCAGAGGGGGGAATCTTGTTACTGTCTGTTTCTCTTGCTTTTTGCAAAATGGGAAATACTCAATGCAGTTCTGGTCTGCTTCACATCAGTTCCTTCCACTGCTGGGAGGAGCAATTCCAGAGCCATTTTTATGCCAATTTAAGCTTTTTGTTTTAGAAGGATTTTGTTGTGCAAGAGTGGGCTCAGTGACCCCATAGGACAGGAGTCTGTAAACATTACCAACGTGTATTTTAACACTGCTCTTGTCCTACTCTTGTGTCAAAAAAAGTCAAGCTGTCATTGTAAATCAAGCGTGAAGCTGAAGACCATATAAAATGGTGTGTGCTTGATTTGGTTTTGAGGGGCTTCTACACAAATTAGCTCTTTTGCATATCCATGCATATGAGATTGGATTCTCTTTGATCAGCAATGGTCAAACTCGTGTCCTACAGACCTGGAGGTCGCCTAGGTGATAAAAGGCAGAAAAATTGCAGTCATCCTTTGTTTTGCTGCTCACAACTTCAGAGAAAAATGGTAGCACTGCATTTGTCTTCTTGCAAGATCAGCTGCAACTGTCAGAATAGGTTACTTCTAACTTTAGTGCTTTCAATTTAAATTTGCTGTATACTATTTAAAACCTTCAAAGGGAGTCTAGCCGTGTGGTCTCCCACACAAAGCAGTGTTGTTCTTTTTCAACTTCCATTTCTGTGAGACTTTTCCTTCCCTTTTCACAGTGAGCAACGTTGCTTTCCTCCCAAGAGGATGTGAAAATAGAAAAGTATAGCCCTGTAGAAGCAGTCCAAAGAGCCTCATGGTACATGGAGGCTAAGTTGAGGGTTGTGTCTGTCCTGTTTGCAAACTCTGCAAGAACAGTTTGGCCTTTGGTTTGCAAGCCTCTACAGGTGTAACCTTCTTCAACAACCTCCCTGTTTTCAGAAGGAAAAGAAGGAAAGGAGAATAGAGGACTTGCAACTTTGCACCTTCAGCTTGGCTTGTGGCTCCACACTGGAGCTCTGCAACACTTACTTCTTGATTTGTAGCTTTGGATTTTACAGTTACTCTGACCTTTCTGTTCTCTTCAGTTGTGTCTAACAAGTTGTCTAAGTGCAGGTTTTGATCTTAAAGGTAGCTGTTTCTGTATCCTGGCTAACCAGCATTCAAATCACTTGCCTACTTATGGGCATCTGTTGCCATTAGAGAATCCTTAGCTTACCTTTCCTGGTTGCTGGCTGTGACACCAGAAGGTGTGGGCCTCCTGTAGTGTTGCATCATCAATCACAAGGGCATCTAAATTATCTACAAGTGGGCACCTGGATTTGGCCCCGTGTAGCTGCTGTACATTGAGCAATATGGATATCTACACCCCAGCATTTGTACTGATGGTCTTCACGTTTACAGCAAGGACTACTACGTTTTCTCTTAACTGGGAGATTTGTATGGAAGAGCTGTGGCTTTCCTTGGTGAAGGGTGG